GTGCCGAAGGGAGCGGAAGACTAATCATCGTGCGCAACTTTCATCGTGTAACCTGGGTGTCACAGCGAGGCGCAAGAACGTAAATACAACAGGCAAAACAGCCCCCTTTTCCATATTTACATTTTTACGCATGACAGCTGAAGACAAAGACGTCAAGGTAAAAGTAAACGGAAATAACAAGCCTGTTGAATGGCCATGGCAGTCTGGATTTTCCAAATTTCCAAACATTGCGTAGCGCGGCTGATCAGGTATCTGTAAACGAAAAACAACCATGATTGGCTTCCACTGCTGTGGCCAGGCTTGGTTTTATGCTGTAAAAACTGATCGTATTGACGTTCTTACGCGTAAAAATATTTTTTACGTTTTTGCGCCTAAGAATGCGCAAAAATACGTAAACGCAAAGTAAAAACTGCCCGGTGTACATAAGGACAGTACATACAGACTTACGGAGTCCGGAGAGTACCCTCCGGACTCCGTCAGTCTGTATGTACTGTCCTGATGTACACACTATTGGCAGCAAGACGCCCTGAAAGGGGAGGAAAGCGAGTTTTTGTTAAACGCTATTATCGTCCTTGCCAAGGGCGAGGTGCATGTTGTGTTACGGGTGTTGGAGATGGCAGAGAGCTGACCATTGTAAGCACCTTTCATCGTGTAACCTGGGTGTCCCAGGGAGCCGTGAAAACGTAAAAGCAGCCATAAAAATAGGCCCTTTTGCACATTTACGTTTTTGCACATAAAAACGTAAACGTAAACTTAAAAGACAAGCCTGGCTGTGGCGTCAAGCAGGTGCTGGTGTCAAGGTGAACGTCGATTCATCGATACACTGAAAGCATCCGCAGTTTCCTCACCTTCCATCCATAGCAACGCCGCACTCGCCTCTGTGGCTTGCTCCCAATGCGCATTGCGACAACAACATGGAGTTACACGGTCAATCGAACAGCAGCCCAGTTTTACGTGATTCTTCAAATCGGCATTCGAAATTGCACAAGCGCAATTTGCAATTCTTGCGCAATTTGATGGCAAGTTATCATGGGCAATTCTTAGCGACTTGAACTTTTGATGTTGAATCAGGTATTCGACAGTCGTTGTCGTTCGACTAATGCACTAGCACAAAGGCCCAGTTCCAGGACAGGAAGTCAGAATTAGTAATGAAATCCGTAAATAATATTCCGAGAGGGTCGTTTAACCGTGTTTCAGCATTGGACCAGCTGCTCAGAATTCATACATATGTTCATAGCCAGGTTTGGTAATTGCGGCGTAAAGATCTCCTATTTACGGCAACTTGTGCTCAAAAATGCCTTTTACGTTTTTGCGTGTAAATGGCCGTGAAATGCGTAATAATGGGTCGTTGGGTAGTGCAAGACAGTACATATAGACTAAGAGAGTACGGATAGTGCTAGACGCGTTGAAGTATGCATAAAACGATCTTCTGCTCTGTGACGCCATTGCCCTTGCTGAGGGCGAGGTCTGCGCTGTGTTGTCGGTGCTGGAGAGCACGGAGGACTGATCTTTGGTTGGGACATCACCATAGAATCTACGCGTTTCGACGAGCCTCAAGTATGAGCGAACATGGCCGTAAAATGGCCGTTCTCTATTTGCCCGTTTTTCCACGCAGAAAAACGAAACCGTAAATAACACATCTGTTCACGGCCACTGTCATTTCCATCGTTTACATTGCTAGACCCAGACATCCCCAGCATACAGATAAGAAAAAGCGCCGAGGCTTTTCATGACGCCGCGGCATCTGTGATGACCAAGGAAGAACGCTGACTGGCTGATCGACCTGGAGAATTGAATGTGGGCGCCAGTGTTCTTGAAGAACCGCCCTCGCCTGGTCATTCCTCAAGATAGGGATCACGCCCTATCGCCGATGCGCCGCGGCATGTGCTGCTGCCAATCGCGGGGGCAGCGCCGGCCAATACGAGGGCAAGAATGTGGCCGTATTGCAGTCGGCGAGCGGTCGCACAGCTAAGTCCTGTGGGTGCATCGGTGCTTTCAGTTCCAACGACTGGAATGTGTGATCACGCATTTCCTAACTTCGTAGTTATTTCTAACTAGAAATATTGGAGAGCATAATTACCGCTGCCATGACCTGTTCGTGGCCCATTGGAAACTTGGCAAGATTGGCTGTGTGTCTCTCGCCTGTGACTCCAGAATCCTCGTTTAATCCTCGCAATCGGCCGCGATATGGCTAGAAAGAGGCAGGGTGGAAACCTGCGGTCCCGCGAAGTCGCCAATTTGAGCAGCCCCACGCAAGGAGAGCCTCAGTGCATTCAGCACTGCGGCTATCTCTGACAATTTGTATGCAAGTGCCGCAGATCATGATCTCCGTGATCATGGAGAATAGCGCCCTCCCCGCGCTCCACGTCAGTGCTGACGTCAAGATTGCGGGGGGCGCTGTTTTGCGTGCCCCGCTCTGTCTCCCGTCCCCCCCGCGTTCCATATCATGTCGCTGACTCAGTAGCTCCCCCCGCGTTACCACGCTGGCCCGCGTACCGGCAGCAAAGCGTACCGGCGCCCCACCAAGTTTGCGCATTTCGTGAGGCGCCATTCACAGCAGCAACCAAAACCGGCTCCAGAAAAATGAGAGAACGCCACAGGTCGCCGCGTTATGCCGCGCCACCCGCGTTGCCTGATTCATTGCCAAAGCGAACCGGCGCCTGGCCAGCAGAGCGTATTACGTAATACATGTATACACAACATAACATAACATAACATTACATGATGCGCCAATGGCAGCACCAACCAAATAACAGCTATTGGGACGTCGCACTGCACTGGAGCCAGCCTGGAGATCGCGATGACTTGAGTTGAGATGGTTTGAGCGATGGCAATATGGAGCGCCACGCTGAGAATCTTGAGGACATGGTGTTTGATTGAAGGAGTAATATCATGGCAATGTTTTGTTGGAATGGACTTGATAGCATTGGGGCGACAGCACATGCGATGAGATGTAAGAATGTGTGAAAATGCTTTTGCATTGTGGTTGCACGTGATGTTGAGGTGGATAGTGCCCTCCCGCACTATCTCTGCGTGGCCCCCACGCTTCGCAACACCGGCCATGTTTGATAACGCCGGGGACGTTATCTAAAGCCCTCTGCACTATTCAACACCCCCACCGTTGTCCTCCGTGAGCTGCGGGCACATCACAAGTGGTCTTGGAGGTGCAAGAGAAGTTCTTTGCGTCCATTGGATCGTATTCATAAGATGAGATTGAACAGCCATCGCTGTTGAAATGCAAAAGGATACGTGGACTCCTGGATCTTGCAACGAAGTTTCAGGGAAATCACCTGTCAACTCAGTGCGCAACAATGCATTGGCTAATGCAAAACACAGCGGCAGTTCTGAGCAAAGTCGTATGAAATCGCCTATCACTCTACCCTGCACACCCGCTCACACAAGGATGGCGGGAATTTGCAGCAGCAACGCCAATTCAGTGCTTAGTTTGCGAAATTTAGTACAGAAATTTCCTTAATTTATTCTAATTGTCTGAGATTCGTCAGCAATCATCACCGAATTGCCAGTGGTAACACTGCCAATGGCAACAACCCATAGCTATTGTCGATGTGTCCCTACATCTGAACAGTGCGAGATAAGAACTCCAAGAGCCTTGTTGCGATAATTTTCTTCATCTCATTATTTGATTCACGGAAAGCCTACGCGTCCGCTGACCGATATACAATGATCAACTATGATCAAGATTGGCGTGCAGGAGACTTTCTTATTTCAGGAGAGTCATTAATATCGATTACCGAATTGTCGGTACGTGATTTATGAAACAAGAGACAACTTTGTGCAGTAGATTTGGGGTAGCCCATTTAAAACACAGCAGAGCCCATTGGACGTGTTTTAGATCGCAGGCTATTGCGATCCTTTTCGTCGATGTCCCCGCCGCCGTCAAAGGACAATCTAGATATCTACCACCTTACCATCAATCGATTGATGGTAAGAAATCTCTCACTAAACCGTCCCCTTTGCCCTGCGGAAACTCTCCTCTTGGCGCTGTCGCAGAGATGGGCTTAGCTTTCCCATGGGCAATGGGCCCATTAGTGGGTGGCCCATTTAAGCCCATCATCAATCACGGTGGCGCGCGTGGGAATTAATGCCGCCAAGGGAACAGTGTGAGGCAAATCTCTCATCACATCTGAGATAAGGGTTCGAAAGCCGAGATATGAGCAAAGAACTTGGACGATCACTGTGGCTGGAAGTCTCAACAAATAAGTGTTGTGTGAAAAGGAAGACAGCTGTCCGCCTCCTGCTCTCTGTAGCAGGGCCGTTCGCTCCCCTTGGAGACCGCCTTGGCCTATGGTACCCGTCAAGCATGTCTGTATGCAGCCCGACCAACGGACCAAGCGCGGGGGAGAGTGGGACAACGGAAGACATTTGAATAAAACCAACAGCTGAGGAGAAACAAACAAACAGTTCCGTGACACAGAAAGTATTCTTCAGTTAGTTGTTTACTTTGCAGTTAGTAATTCTGTCATTTAGTCCTTACTTTGACCAGTGCTCGTAAGTGAGCTGTTCGTCTTTTTTCTTGTTTGGCACAGCACAGCGTGCGTTGTGGAAAACGCGTTGGCCAAGAGGGAGCCGGCAACCCGTCCAGTGTTGCTGCAAGGAAGATCCGCGCGATGCATCCCATATGGGGCAGCTGGGCGCGGGCAGGACAAGAGAACGGTCTCGACGTTCACCCCCCAGTTCGCAGCGCGCGAAACTTCTCTTTTCAGCGCACACCACGCCGGGGCACTGGGGCGCCAGTGTACTGCCCTCGCTCGCGATCATCATCAACCCAACTACAAGCGAACCCTGGAAAGCCCCCCCTGCTCCACGGCCTCAATGTACTTCCCAACCAAAGGTCCTTCCGGCAAGCTTCGAGCTGCGGGCCTCTTCCTTGATCGAGGTCGGAAGTCGTGCAGGGCGTGCCACCCCCAAAAGCCTCGCTTCGCCCACCGGCCCCCGTAGCTTGCCGTCCACTCCCCACACCCCAACGCAAACCAGTTGCCATGGCCGCCGACACGATCATCCTTGCCCCCCACTTGCTGCCCCTGGCACTGAAGGCCGCGGACGGCAGCAATGCCGGCAGCACTGATTTTCGCGCGTCCCTCTCGCCGCTGCTCTCGGCCGGCCATCCCGAGATCGCGGACGCCCGTGCGTTCCTCGGGGACCTCACCGAGTGCCGACGGACCCTCCTGAAGGCGCTGAAGACAACAGATGCAACCCCACAGGCTGTGGACGACAGCCTCAGGGCCTACATGGCAAAAATTCACCATCTGATGTTGCCACCGACTGGCGCCCCGCCGGTGGGATCGGATGCCGGCCCTCCTTGGCGTGGCTCATGTGTTGGGGCCGCTGTGGCGGTGGCTTGGAGGGATGTTGTGTGGGAAAGGAGGGGAAGGGATGAGAGGAAGGGGGGCCAGGAGGTTGCGAGGGGGGATGCAAGGCTGGAGGTGGCGTCCGTGTTGTTGAGCGTGGCGATGTGGAAGGCGTCCAAGGCGGCGGCGACGGCCGGTGGGGGCGGCCGGGGCGAGGGGGCGGACAGCGCGGTGGTGGCCCAGGTGAGGGCCCGGCCGGACGGTCGGGTAGGGGTTGAATTGTGGGTGATTTGTGGACTTTGGTTCGTCGCGAACTCTTGGGCGAGGGAGCGCGCGGCCCAGGCGCGGGCGTTCGCAGCCGTGGCGACTGTCGTGGGGAGAGGGTTGCGGCATCTGGGCGTGGCGCGTGCGGGCATGGGGTGGGGATAAAATGACTTGGTCTTGGTTGTCACTGTGAGGCTGCGTTTCAATCAGGGCAAATCGTGGGCCACCAGATCCACTTGCTCTCCCTTGGTTGACCGGGCGCGGGCCCTCAGGGGGGCTTAAGACCCTGCGTTGCGTTGTTAGCCTGTGCGCCAGGATATGTTATTCCCTCTGCCTTTTCCAAGTGGATCCCTTCTTCTTCCGCTGACAAGACTAACGCCGGTCAGTGGGTCAGTGGTTTAGGGTTAGGGTGTCCGGAAACAAGATGGGACCCACACGAAAAGGCAGAACGACTAATCACATTCCGTTTGTGCGCCCTCGCCCACACTGCACATGCGGTATGTTTTGTGCAGGCGCGCCAACTGTACCGGGAGGCTGCCGGAATCATTCAGCACCTGTTGGACACGCATGTGGAGGGGCTTGGAAGACCGACGGCAGGAGACCTTGATGAAAATGTTCTAGCAGGTCTCCACAAGTTCGTGCTGGCGGAGGCAGAGGTGGGCAGATAGGGAGGATGGGACGGATGGGCATCATTGAAAGAAGTCGTTTACTTCTATGATGGAAACAAGCAACGTGAAAGGCAAACAGCATGTGTCCATTTGCAGAAAGCGGCCGAATTGCGGAACTTTGGTGCATGCTGGACATGGCAGTGATGGGTGCTGCAGGCCAGGTCCCCACTTTGGAAAGCCCAAAGGTTGATCTCTGCCAGTGTTTGAAGCCTTATTTGTTTCATATGCAGGCTGAAACATGGCATGCAGCGCCACAAACCTTCATTTGCATCAGCACTCTGCCGTTTCAATTCCCAGAATGTCTGATGCCAACATTTTGCCTTTCTGGGGTGCATTCTGTGCAGGCATGCCTTGCAACAGCCTCCTCTCAATGGCTAAGATTGCTGCTGTGTTCATGGTTACTGTGCAGAGCTTCACCGTCCTGAGAGCTATTGAAAAGGGGAATGTGCCCTCTCTTGTGGCTGCCATCTCCATGGACGTTTTCCAGTTGTATGCACGGGCCTTCAACTGTCTTCAAAGGGCAGCGGCCCCCGCTGCCGAAGTGCTTGAGGATCCCACTGTGGACCTGGGGAAGCAAGCACGCTCCAGTGCGCATGGCATTGGAGTCAAGGGCTGGGCTGGATATTGCAGAAAAGTTGGGGGCTACACGAGGTACAAGGCTGCCTGCTTCAAAGCCTACATGCTGGCTTACCATGCGTTGGATCGCTCCCAGGGCACACAGGGGGGGGCAGCCGTTCGACTTGCGCAGGAGGCATCCAAGACAGTGCAGACAGCCACAAACCTGGGGAGGGAGTACGACAGCCTGCTGCCGCATACGTCTGAGCTTCAGAGGCAGGCTTTCTCACGCTCTTTGCAAGACAGAGTCAAGCAAATCGATGTGCAATGCGAAAAGGACAATGCAACAGTCCACCTGCAGAGGGTGCCTGAGAAGCTTCCAGATCCCCCTGCAGCAAAGCAGCTGGTCTCGGCTGTTGACTACTCATTCCCCCTGTTCGACCCTTCCGTGGACCATTCATTGTTCTCGTGCTTCGATCTTTCACGGGCACCAGATGTTGTGGTGGACGTTGCTGGCGATGGGGGAAAAGATGGAGGGCAGAAGACAGCTGCCTGGTGGAGATGGCTCCTCGTCATACTTGCCTTCCCAGTCATTGTGGTTGCTTCCCTGTTGGGCATGTTGATATGGATAGTGCTCCTGCCAGTGAAGATATTCTGCTGTCCACTGGGCTTTGCTGCGCAGATGATGTGGGATGTGACCGAATGGCTCATCAAGGCACCAGCCTACCTTGCTCTGTGGGCTGCTGGCAAACCATGGCAGCCTGAAAAACGTGATGTGCGAGCCATGGCGTCTGGTAAGATTGTCAAAGTGGAGCATTGCACAAATTCGCAGGTCTCCAGTGCCTGTCTGCATTGAATTCACGACTTCAAGTGTCCTTCAGAGAGCATTGAACTACTCCCTCTACCGCTTCAGTGGCATATGTATCTTGAACCTCAAACAAAACTGCTGAGAGAACAGACGCTTCCTGTGCAAACAATCATTGAGCAATACATATCGTTTCGACAGAAGGTGCTGCGGCCTTTGTTGTTCATGCATCAACTTGATGAATTTTGATTGGTCGGTTGATTGTTTGTTGGCTGATGAAATTTTGATCCTGAGGAGCCGTGGCACTGTGATTGCGCTTTCCAGCATTGATAAACCATCCCCAAGCACCTGCAAGGTCCACAAGGGCAATTTCAGCATTCCAATGTGTTCCCCCATGCTCTCGGATTCAATTGAAATAGGTGTTTAGAGAGCTTGTCAACAACGAGTTCGCCCCAGTCTTTTTGTGAAGAAATGTGATTGCCAAGGGAATTTTTGTTTGCCCAGTATGATTGTGTGGCTCCATGGCATTTTCACTTTGTGGGCATTGAGTACTTGCGCTCGTTCGCTCCGCTTCAGTTGTTTGGCATGTTTTGTGCGCAAAGTACATGCACGTACTGCGAAGTACTGTAACAAACAGATAACAGCTAACTATTCAAGGAAATGGCACACCGATATGCTCGCTGAAGTCTTCAGTGCATGAGCCTCGATTGACTGCGTAGGCTTACAATGTGTTCCACGCCTTGCAACTGCAGGTGGTGTCGAAGAGGGGAGCCCATCAACGTGAATAAACTTGTCAACGAGGTGCATTGGCCCTTTCAGTCTGGCCTGAAGAAGTTCCATCGAGTTCCTGTGGACTATGTTACCTACATGCATGGCGATGAGAAGCACTGCATGCAGGCACCTGGCACTGTGGCTGTTGCCAGGGGCTGGCATTCTGCTCAAAGAGGCGAACCCAAGGCATGTATCTTTGCATTTGCCAAGGTGCTTCGAGCGACCACGTGTCCCTCAGATGCCATTTTTTAGGTTGGCGGCTGTGCATGATAGGGAACAGTGAGCTATCCATAGCAGCTTAACGGAAGGTGATGAATTTCCACGGCAGGAGGGGGAAGTGTCCCAACCGTGTTGATTTTTGGTCGTCCATCCGGAGCGGCGCAGTGGCAGCTAAGGCGTCAGGTGCACGCGAAAAATAAAGCACGCAAGATCAGCGACAGGATTTGAGAAGGGATATTAGCCCTGCGCCGATGCAGGCGCATAGCTTCGGTTGGCCTGTGTATTGTTGTGTCCTTCAAATTGCCCGAACTTCTGTTGAAAGAACATTAAATCTGGGAGGGGAAAGAAACCAACTGTACGACCGATGCTGCAACTTGTAGCGAGTGCTACAGTGGTATTGTATTAGCATTACTCCACTCAGGGCTGCATCCCAAATAGAACAGTCCACTGACAAGACACAGGCAAAGCGACCCCAAAATGATATGTGCGCATGTCGTTTCCTGCAAGGCATGCGTCTGACCCCCGTGAAGGCGTTAGAGAGCGGCTCCGAGACTCTCTGAGTACAAGGTTTAGTACTTCGCAATACCTGATTGTACCACTTCTACCGAGAGGGTGGCAGCCGGTGCCGTCCACGTGATGGGAGCATCACGGAGGTGCCCAAGGAGTTCAGCAGCGCTCATAATCCTCGACCGCCTGCTGGGCGTGCTGGCATGCTCCACGCCGCAGCAGTGGGTGTGTAGAGCGGAAACTCCCCGCCACGTCCACCCATGGCACGGTGGTGGGTGGTACAGGGCGCAGGGCCCGTCCGCCCTGTCCTCTGTGCACCCCAGTAGAAAACACAAACAAAGGCCGCAGGCAACGACAATTGCACAGCTCGCCTATACGCCGTGTTCCCGTGTTGACCAGAATCCGCGGGAACACGTGAGCTTCAGGACGGTAATCCTTTCGCGTGGCCTTCCGTTGCATTGAACTGTCTTGCGGGGTGGCAACGAGTGGCCCCGCCGCACCGGTTTCCTCCCGCTGCCCGCGCTACCCTACAGTAGGCTGGGAACCGAAAAAATACTGTTACGGCTAGAACTTATTGAGTGTTATTAATAACTGAATGCATGAAAAGATGATAAATGGACGGGACTGTGGACGGACATGGCGGTGACGCAGGCTGCGAGCATTACGAAAATTCCCGTTTAGGGATCGCCACCCCTCGACCCTGCCTGCCTTCATCAATACAATAGGTGAAATAGGTCAGGTACAAGTAAGGAGCCGGCCATTGCTCTGGCGCCCACGCGCCCTCCGGGGTAACCCGACCTTCCCGTCATCCTGGCAGTACTGTCGGTGACTACTCTGCGTCTGAATGCCGCCACACACTAAGGAAATCGTAGATTATAAGGTTAAGTACGATACAACAGGTACAACAGACACAATAGGTTAGGTTTGGGGCCGTCCCCACAATAGGTTAGGAAGCCGCCCGGCTGACGCCCCCAACCCCCTCCCGGAGTCTTCCCTGCTGCCAGGGGGCCCCGCGTCGCGCTATTTTTCGCCTCGACAATCGACCCGTTCCTGGGACGTTCCCTGCCCACTCCCAGCGCACGGGCCGCTAGGCCGCCTCGGGGCGCTGTGCCGCGGCTGCCGGCGCCAGCAGCATGTCTTACGCGTGAGCACCCACGCCGATCCCCGCCCCTCCCTCCCGCCTGCCCGCATGGCCCCGATTGACGACCCGCCCCCTTTGCGCTGCCCTCCAGGTACCTCTTCAAGTACATCATCATTGGCGACACCGGTGAGTTGGGCGGGATTCCGAATCACGCGCCCGGCGATCGTGCCGGCAAGGCGCTGGGTGAAGAGCGGGCTGAATGGCGGGCTGGCCTGCGCAGGGGTGGGCAAGTCGTGCCTGCTGCTGCAGTTCACCGACAAGCGCTTCCAGCCGGTGCACGACCTGACGATAGGGGTCGAGTTCGGCGCGCGGATGATCAACATAAACAGCAAGCAGATCAAGCTGCAGATCTGGGACACGGTGAGTGTGCCCCCCCGGGGCGCTGCCGCGCCGTGTGGCAGCTGATTCTCGCGCTTGCCGGCACGGCACCGATGCTGACGCTGTTTTGGGACCGCTGCCAGGCTGGGCAGGAGTCCTTCAGGTCCATCACGAGGTCCTACTACCGCGGCGCCGCGGGCGCTCTCCTTGTGTACGACATCACCAGGTGGGAACCCCCGATTGCGCCATTTTCCCGCTCTGGCATTTGCGCCCCTGGCCGGCCTTGCTCCCCCAGTCCCCTCCCCCGGCTGAGCCCGTGTGTTGCCGCCCTGCCGCAGACGGGACACGTTCAACCACCTCGCCAGCTGGCTGGAGGACGCCCGGCAGCACGCCAACCAGAACATGACCATCATGCTGATTGGCAACAAGAGCGACCTTAATGTGCGTGCACGGGAGCAGAGGGCCCAATGGGGGTCCCACGTGTGTGTGATGGGCTCTAAGGCGGAGTTGCACAATGGATGAACCCACCACCCACCTACTTGGTCGCCTGAATCTGCATATCTGCCATGGACTACCATCCCCTCACTGCTGCAGAAGAATCCCTGCTGTTGGTGCTCTGCCACTATACCTGTTGTCGCTGCTGGAGCGGTTTCTGGGTTTCCGGGGGCTCGTGTGCTGAAGAGACCACTGTAAATTTGCTGTGCTGCAGGCCCGAAGGGCAGTGTCGACCGAGGAAGGGGAACAATTTGCAAAAGAGCATGGCCTCATATTCTTGGAGACATCTGCCAAAACGGCAGTCAATGTGGAAGATGTGAGACACCCCATTCCTACCCTTCTGTTTTGTCCTCTGGTAGTTTCAGCTTTGCTCGTGGTTCTCCTGTCAGTACACAGCTTATTTTGGTGTTGTAGCACTTCGCTACAGTGGGCAGGCACATTAAGAATAATGGGTACATGCTCATGTTTCTGTAGCTGTGACGTTCGCTTGCATTGCTTATGTTGAAGCCAAGGGTCCTCTGTCAACTTGTCACCTCCTTCGACCTGCATAAAGCCAGCCTCTTTCTGCTGTTTCTGGTCACTGACCTTTTTGCCCTTTTTTTCTGATCCCCAGGCTTTCATCAACACAGCAAAAAAGATCTACGAAAAGATCGAGCAGGGGGTATTTGATGTTTCCAATGAGGTATGGAGAGTGGGTGTGCGAGGCACCTGGTGTATGGATTGTTGGGCAACGACATGGAACACTGTTGAATAGATGCTCGTGGGGTATTGTTCATTCCTTTTTGCTGCAGCTGCACAGCATACAGTGTTCTTGTGCATTGTGCTGTCCATGATTGGCCAAACTGATTCTGGAAACCTCAGAGGGTGGGCAGTGAACATCGGCAAGATAATTGTGGGAAAACGATACATGGCATGCAAATGGGAACACAGTCAGCAGCTTGGATTTTGGTGCATGCACCTTTCCAATATATTTTCAGGATGTCTCCACACAGGCATCATTCACTGCTTTGTGGCGCTGCTTTCTTCTCTCACCCCTTGTGTGAGCGCTTTGCAGTGTTTGATACCCTCAGCCACTGCCCTTGCATGTGAACAGCAACAACGTGGCAGCATGTATCGTGTGCAGTGGTGCACCATCATGCCAATTTCCTCAGGGCCATGCGAAAGCAAGATGGTTTCAATCGGCCAGAAGGACTGGGTTTGTTATTCGTATCCAGCTTCTCTGTCACGTGGATTTGTCTAGTATGATTGCTCAACTATCCTGATTTCTGGAAATGCACCAGCTTGCTGTGGAAGTGCTGGAGCCTGGGAACTGGCAGTGCTTCAGGCTGTTTGGTATTGAAAAGAAACAACCACACTTGGAGAACCCTTGGAGAAAACCCTTGGTGGATGTTAACGGTCCTCAACACCACCTATTCAATGCCAGGAGTGCGGCGCATCTGAGCTGAAATGAGCTGATATTCCCTGCATTCCATTTGGATCAATGTCAAGTTTCTTGGATTATGTGGGCTTGGGGGCTGAATGAACTTGCTGACCTGAATGGTGCTTTTTATGAAGAAATCACAAGTAAGGTATGCAGCTGTGGGCAGTTCAACGTCTATTGATACAAGAATGGCTGGCAGGGACTTGCACAGGAGTCCAAGTTCCCTTGTCCATTTCATTGCACCATCATGTGGGCATCTGCCATCGATGTTGTCTCATGTTTTGTGTTGGCGCTCTCTTGCAGTCGTACGGAATCAAGGTTGGCTATGGTGCTGGGGGCCCGAACTCCCAAACAGTCAAGGCTGGAGACCACGCAGGCCAGAGATCGGCAGGCTGCTGCTAGGATGGACAGCCGGTATCACGCTGGGTGAGGCCCCGCCACAGGAAGACGAACCGATGGAATAAGCACCTTGGGCATGCTGCTGCTGCCCCATCACCTTGCCTGTCCTTGGAACTACCAGGAAGTTGCCTTTGGGCTGATAGTCCCTCCAATTCCTCGATGGTCGCCCATCGTATCCACACGGGGGTTGGTCGATGGTTGCTGCCTTCGGTGTTCTCTCCTGTTTCAGCACTCCGCAAGGGCCACCTGCAGATGCCGTGACGGGCAGAGCGCTTTGTTTTATACAATAGGGTAGGCTTGCCAGGCCCTGCTTTGTTTTATACAATAGGGTAGGCTTGCCAGGCCCTGGCCTGTGAGAAGATCGGGAGGACTGGGAGTGTGTGGTGCTTGGCATCAGTCCTGGCCTCTGCTTTCTGTGTGACATCATCAGCTCTGCGGCAGACCCCAGACCTTCTGTGTACTGTATGGGTTTTAATTTTGACTTGTTTGAATGCATGAACATGTAATGATGCCATTGTTCTCTTTGATACAAGCGTGTGAGGAGGCCGATGTTGTTTTACGCAAAGACTACACACAGGCTGTCCGTAGATGTCGGGCCCGCCTCCATATTGGGCTGCCCAGCCATGCATGACAAATCCATGCGTCGGAGACTTTCAGATGGGCGAGTAGGTTGAGGGTGGGAGTGGGGTTTGGAACTGGTGGATGAGGGTGGGATTGTAGTCTGGGGAATGGGCCAGCAGGCCTTTGTACTTGTTCCCTGGGCATCAAGATCTGTGGCTGGTGGTAGCCGCAAGAATGCTCCGCTTGAATGTGTTTGATGCTTGGCAGCTGTGGGTTTTCCAATCAGAGATTTCAGCACAGCAGTGGAGAGTACCTGCAGGAGCAGAATTAACTGCTAAAGCGCGAATGGAGTACAGTGGCAGCAAGTTCTTTCAGGAGCTCGCCTCCCAAGTTATTGCTATGCTTGGCGGCCGTCATGCAGCTTATCAAGGCGTTTGCGCATTGCAGTGAAGCCTTGGTGTTGGCTAAAATACTTGAAGCGACGTAGAGCACATGATAATGTCAGTGGTCGAAGCATCTGCCGCAATCAAGCTGCTGTGCACACACCGACTCTGTGCATCCTCAGTCTCTGCAGATGGGTGCCAGCACCGCTGCCGCTGTTCTGTTTGCTCTGCTCGGCTACATGCCAACCAACATCACATCAATCTTCCGTGCTAGGTAAAAGCACGAGAGCCTGTTGCCTGTATGGACAGTTTGGAGTCTAGCCTAGAGATCACTTTCCAGACGCATGGGATCGATCAATCATCCTGGGAGGGGCGGATCGCTTCCAGTACATTGCGGTCAAGTCCTCTTTTTTATGTCTGGTGTTGTCTCGGCCAGCGCAGATGCGACGTGCATCAATGCATCAGCCACAGCTTCAGCTGTGGTGGCACTGTGCCCATTGTGGCCAGCCAACCATCCATAGTTTGCACACCAACGACTGTTCCCACATGATCTTTTGTACTGGGCATCTGATGACTGCCTTGGTTGGCATTGCCCGCACCTACAGTACAGAGATGCAAACCCCAGAGACGGCAAACTCGCTCAACACGATCTTGTACAAGAGCCAGGAAAATCCTTGGGGAGCGTCTGACCGGTCCGATCAGCACTCGTGGATGGCACGACTGGAGGGACCTGTTTGGGCCCGGTGGGCGCTTGTGTGGGTGCCGCCCGCAGAAGGGAACAAAGGGCGCACGCTCTACATACTCCACACCGCCCAGCGATTGCTTCGTCCAAGATGGCAACTATGACCAAAGCCAGCCGCCTTGGCAAGTTATGCATGCGAGGCATGGTCCACCAGTCCCCTGCCATGCCGATCAGACCACTGCATGACTGCTGGCAGTCTCCATCTAGACACAGGATTCCGTAGGTGGGGAAGGTCGGCTTAAACGAGTGGGATGCCCCTCATCCAAAACTCGATCCAAGGCCACCTCAATCAAATCACACCAACTGACAGCGATTCACATTGCTAAACATTGCAGCAGCTGCTGATCTTGATCGCATTGAAAACCACAGGGAGAATATGTTTATGGGTAAGGGCATCTTCGAGGCGCTCGTTAGTCTTCACAGGCTCGATTGCGCTCATACCAGTTGCTGCTGCACACCGTCTGGCACATTTTTTTGACGTCGACGTTTTGGCGTCGGCTGTGTTCTGGTCTGTTGTCAGAGGTCTGCTGGGACTCCGCCACTCCTAAATTGGTCTGATTTCCTGTTGGGGCCTGCGGGCGTGTGCGGTGGTGTGTTTTCTCTTGCCTCCTCAAGCTTTCATCGAAACTTTTTCAAGTGTTGTGTTTGTTTTCATATTTGTAACCGCTTCGCTCGTCCCAGATATCTGCCCAGACAGGTTGTGCTGGCAGATCATTCTGCGAATGGGTCGAAACATATCGGCGCCAGTAGACAGTCACCCAAGTTCACTACCAAGAAAAGGACCAAATAACACTTTTGCGAACACACATAAAACACATTTCATCAAAGTTGTGCACGCTAAGAGCACAAAAACAACCCAAACCCGTAAACTTTGTACACATTTGAACACGTGTTATCTGGCCCTTTTTCCTAGCGGATGCTGCGAACAGAGCAACAAATATGAAGCAACCCTCGATATCCTGCTTTGGGCTTCAAGGCAGTTCTGATCTCTCTTCCAGCGCCTCGGAAAACCTGAATGGGCCAATGTGACAAATTGAAGTCCACTACACAGACACGTGCCCGTGACCTGGGAGCCCAGCGCGGCCAGTACCCTCCATCGATGGACAAGAAAACTCCGTGCGGCATCATGGACACCAAGCAGAGCGTCCCTTTGACGTGATCCAACAAACTCTCAACGCGGTCAATTGGCAGGTCAGCTTCCCCAACGTCCCATCCCTCCGTTTGCCCCCATGCCGGAGCCGGAGTACTTTGGCGTCTTCAGAGAGGAAAGCAGCCATGGGGTCGGCGACCCGTACCGGGTTGGCTACCTAGGCGGTCTCTGTGAGATGCCCCGCCCCCGCGCCCTCTCCCCCACTTGCCAAGTTTCCCTGGCTGGATTGCCGAAATTCGGTGCACAAAATGCGCCAGTCAAATTCGCGTTTGTTGACTTTTATTGACCTCGCATTGGCATGTGGCTGCCGCAGCGCCGCTCCCGAGGCACAAGGGAAAGCAGTTTGTCGTAGATTACCCTCAGAGCGGCCAGCTGCCGGGTGCCTACCTCCACAAGGAGTTTCAGCGGCTATCGGAGGTGAGGGTGGGACGGCTGCTTCCCGCGGGTCTGCGATGAAGGGGATTAGGTTGCGGTGGGGGAGCAGGGATATCCAGTGCAGTCTTTCCTGGTGCAGGATCTGATACCAGGAGCGGCAGTAAATGGGTTTTTGTCGAGTATTTCAATGACCTTGCTGTCCTCAGTTGGCATGGCGCCCAAGCAGCTATTTGCAATTATTTGTAATTCTTCTTGATCCATTGATGGAAGGTAACACGAAACACATGAGGCGCATTTCAAAGCTTCTGTGGTGTCACAGACTCGCTGTTAGTTTGCTTTCCTGTCCTTTTGCGCGGAGACGATATCAAATCACCAGTGGTGATTTGACCTCGAAAGGCGATCCTGGGTGCGCCAGAAGACTGCCAGCGTAAAATTGCACTTGGAAACTGATTTGCTGTGATGACACCATTTGGAACGAAGCCTGAATTTCACGCCGTGCTTTCGGGATATGACGCACATACTGATGAAAGCACAGCTGGGACCGACACAGCTGCGTGCCCCCAAGAGACGCCGCGCGGCTTAACTTGCAGAATAGCAAAGCTGTCAAATTTGGCTCCTGTTCACGCGGATTCAGATCGACCTTGGAGCTCACATTTAGGGCTTTCCAGACTGAACCATTCCTCAATAGTGAAAGCAGTTGCATTCATGTATTGGGAAAAATATA